TTTATTAATTATAAATTTACCTTTTAGGTCGAGCTGAATAAGTTGAAAATGTATATCGAGCCATAAGATCAATACAAGTTTCCGTAAGTTCAACATGAAAAGTCATTAAAGCTTCATCAATTGGAGGTTTTAAATCTGAAGCTTTATTATCTCCTATCATACGATTTGTCATTATTGGTCTTTCTCTCCTACCTCTACTGCCCTATAAATAAAAATTTAATAATAGTAATATAACATGATATTATTTTATTACTTTCTTTTATACCTGTTCTGTTAAACTCGAACTACGTTTTCTATTTGAAGAATCTTCATTTATAAAGTTAAAATCTGATTTCATTAAATGACCTTCTTCAAAAGGAACTATTACATTAGCTTTCAAACCCTATTTATTAAGAAAAGATAGTTTTATTATTAAAATTTTATTATTAATAACATTATTATATTAATAACAAATTAATACACATACTGTAGTAATAAATCTAACAAAATCTCTTCGAAATGGTAATCTGCATTTCAAAAACCATACAGCAATTACATGATGTGCCAAGGATACTGTATAATGATCATATTTAAAAGGATTTGTATATGGTAATAGAATTGCAAAAACTGACATATATTGATCTCCAATAAAACTTGCAAAAACTTTTGGAAGTCTAGTAAGAGCTGTATAAAAAATATATACATACATATATATATATATATATATATTTCATAATTAAATTATTCTATAGATTTTATAAAACTTACTAGATAAAAATTCTAAAATTGGTATAGCTATATGTACTGTTGCTGAAATTTTTGATAAATTTAAAAGTACTTCGGATAAAAGTTTGTTCATTGCATCACGCATTTCTAAAATACAAGTTGTAAGGCTAGTAACACATTGACTTGCACACTTTGCTGTTAAACCAACCTAAAAACAAATTTAAAAAACTTTTTATTTATCAAATTACATAAATATTATATCAATATAATTTCTTTAAAAATGAATTTTATTTTTACCTCTAAACATTTTATTAAACGTTGTTGTAAATTAGGTTCTAAATGTGCATGATATGAAGCTAATGACGCTAATACTGGAAAAACATGAACGCGAAATTCTGAAAGAGTAAATTTTGGAGGAACATTGTAAAGAGATTCTGGAAGTCTTAAACTTTTATCACTAACCTAAAATATTAAAATATATTAAAATAAAATATACTAAAATAAGTTTTTTTATAAATTAAAAAAAGAAAAAACAAATTAAAATAATATACCATTGAGCAAAGTGCATTTGCAAAATAGTCTATGTCGTTTGTATGTCGTGATAATATTAATGCTCTATTTTGCATCACTTGAGGTAATTCTTTTAATACCAGCTGTAAAACTTTCCAATCTGTAAAAATATAATAGATATAAATAAATATTAATTTCTACTACTTTATATATAAATATATTCTATTTTATATATAAAGAATTATATTAATTTAAAATATACAATAAAATTTAAACCTTTTTCCAATTTAATGCAGGAAATAACAGCTTTACATGCAAGTGCCAATGACATGTGAGTAATTTGACAAGATAAGTGCTGCAATGGAACTGGATTGATTGGTGGAGGACTATTACCACCTCCTCCACTATTTATTCGTTCAGTTGTTGTATGTTCTAAAACTAAATATGGACTAAACTTTATCATGGATAAGTTTTGAGTATCCGGAAATCCAAGATGATAAAGTGTGTTTGCTCTAATTTTTAAGAAACATTCAAAAATCTAAAATGCAAAATAATTTTATGATAAAATAATATATATTAAAATATAATTAATATACTATTAATACAAAATGTATTATATAAAATTGAAATAATATATATCATCTTTATTTATTACCAAATATCGAATAGTAGGAATGTCATAGAAGACAGTTGGTTCTTTATAATGTTGTTCCAAATAATTCACTAAAACTTTATAAGCTCGTATAGCATGACTTGAAGGTAAATAATAAATTTTTGATATTAAGATTTTTATCACACCAACAACTGCAGTTTTTATATCTTTGATGTCAACATCTTTTGTAATTGGTATATCAGATGTAAAAGGTTTATTGATTACCTTAACATATATAATTCATCTTAAAGATATTATACAATATATCATATAATATTATATGATTTCATCCTTAAAGTGTTATATTAAAAATCATATATTTTATGTATATATAAATGAATATCTAAAATATCATGTACCTTCTCTAATATATCTAAAAGCTCTAAACATCTCTTTGTATCACATTCAAGACAAAGATCAATAAGTAAATGTGCAACACCATTTCGAATAGTAATATCAAAATCCATATCAATATGTTGAAAATATGGCACAATTATTCGTTCAATTAATTCTTCTTCATATCTAGATCTATTTTAAAAAAAAATGTTAATTAAAATTATCTAATCTATCAAAACTTTTCTAATTTAAAAAATATATTAATTTAATACCTATTAATTTGGACGACATTTGTTAAAACATCAAGAACTTTCATTCTAATGTTGGTACGTGTTTCAATCTTATAATAACGTTCCATTAAATTTGCTAGTTTAAATTGCCAGTGATAATGTGTAGGTCCGATAGAACGTGCTCGATATTCAATTAATTTCAAAACAGAACCTTCCTAGAAAAATTTAATTTTATATTTTTTATAAAAAAGTATTTAAATTTATATTTAAATTACAAATATGATAATTACAGGTCTTGCATCGCTACAACGTTCAACGAGATCATAAAATCGTTGAATACAACCATTATAATGATTAATGTCTAGTAAATTTTCAATACTATTTATTGTTTCATGTAAATTCACTGAAACTTGTTTAGTTGCAGGTTGGTTACTTGTTTCTAATAAAAAAATACAAATATTAATAAAAACCAAATATTTATATTAAAATTTACAAATTTTGATTTTACCTGTATGAGAAATAACTTCTTCAATAATATCAAGAATAATACTCCATGTAGGATCCCATAATTCAGTTCCATATTTATTTACTAATCTTTGAATTGATAATATAACTTCATACATAACTACTGGATGATTACATTTTAAAGCCTTGAATGAAACAACAAAACAATAAATAATAATTTTCAATTATATAAAATAATCAAATATTATTAGATTTTAATTATTTACTTGATAAAATGAAGGTAAAACAGATGTAGGAGTACATTCTAGTTTTGGAATTTTATGAGTTCCCCAAAGACCCATATTTACATAAAATACTGCCCCTCTAAGTAAACGAACATCTCTCTGAAAATTTGTATCTTGTAGCAAACGACACATTGTATATAATGCAGAATGACCCATGTGTGTACCTAATAAGTTACGCATTATCTACAAAAAGTGTACTATTTTTAAAATTGAAATATATATTATAATTTTAATTTAAATAAATAATGTGAATAAATATATTTGATTTAAATTTTCTAAAATTTTATAATATACCTTCCAACTTATCTGGCAATATGTTTCAACATTAACACTTCCACATAATGCTATAATAAAAGTTTGTAATGAATCAGACTGTAAATTACTGTAACAAACAATTGCATCTAAAGCTTCTAAACATCCAGAAACAACTTCACTGCTATTACTATAATAACATAGATGGCAAATATACCTAAATATACAAAAAATAAAGTTTAACTTAATTAGTTAATTTAATAAATTAATTATAATATAATCAATTCATAAAACATTTACTGGACAAGGCCTGATATAATATCTTCATCAATATATGCTGAGTTAAATTTAATGACATTAACAAGAAGTGATAAGAATTCAGCTCCTCTTTTTCCATCTCCTGCTGTAACAATTGGCATCCAATCTAATAAGAAAGGTCCCATTACATCTTCTAGATGTAATATATCTTTTCCATTTTCTGTTAAGCTTTGTAAAAGTTCCAATCTATATAATAATCCATAACTTAATTAAAAAATATAATGCAAATATAATTAATTAATAATAACATAATGATATAACATAATTAAAAAATATAATCATAATACCTAGGTCCAATATCTTCAGGAATATTATGTTCTTTAACAACCATAAAAAACTTTACTCTCATAAGAGAAGATAATTTAGAATATTGACCTTGAACAAGACATCGCAGAAAATTCAATGTTACATGTCTATGTTCACGAGGTACATCTTTTTCTAAAAGATCTTTTACTAAGTACCATAATCTTTCAGCAGCTTTCTAATAAAAAATAAAAATTAATAATATAATATATTTCATTATGAAATTTATTATTACAAATAATCTACCTACATCTTCCCATTGCTGATTAAGAACTGCATCACACAAATCTTTAATTGCTTTTGTTCGATGATGTACAGGACTTTCAGGACTAATTTCTTTTTCAAGATCATGTGTTAATGTAAAATCTTCACGACTTTTATAATTTCCTAAAAAAAAGTTTATTATTAATTTATTCAAATAGATTATGATAGAAATAGATATGAATTTATAATTTATCATTTAACTATAATAATAAAATCATAATTTATAAATTTTGTATTTCATATAATTTATAAATAATCGTATTTCATGTAAAGATATATTAATAATAGGATTTAATTATGAATTATGAAAATCATATCTATAAAATCACCTTTATTAATACGAAAAAATTGTTTTAATTTATCATGTAACGTTTTATTATCTTTATCTTTTGAGCTCATTTTCGACATTTTAGTTTATGAAAAGAAAACACTAAAGTATATCCAGAAAGAATCGTAATAAGTAATAAGTAGGCATATCAAAATCAAATCTAAACAGAAAAATATCAGTGAAATACACCGTATAAAAAGAGATGGGATGCCAGAAAGTGAAACACCAATCAGCTGTAATTTGTAACCATAAAAAAGACACTAATAAAAATCATCAATAGTTTGCATACTATAGCTTGCTTTAGATATAAGACATAGTATTAAGCTTGGCAACATCGCTTTTACTAGTACGGAGTATAAAGTCTTATTTTAACATTAGTAGTAACTAAAAAAGCAAAATTCATTAAAATTTTTTTAAAGAAAGTAGTTTGAATATATATAATATTTTTAATAATCGTGTATAAATGTATGATAAGTATAATAATTGTAAATAAAAATGATATATAAATGTTAAAAATAATAAAAAAAATATATAAACTATGAATAAGTTTAAGGTTATAGTGAATAAATTTAAAATATTTACATTATACAAACATATTACATTGCTTTATACAAATATAAAATATTTATATTAATATATATTTAAATTTTGCAAATGAAATTACAACTTTTAAACATACAGGCTGATAAAAATAAAAATGAAGTAAAAATTTTAATAATAAACAAAAAAGATTTAAATGAATATATAAGTAAAAATAAGCAATAAAAACAATTCATGCAAAAAATAACTGACAAAAAAATTTTTAAAGTCAATTATGAATTTTAAAATTTTTATAATTTTAAATAATGTTCATTATAATGTATATCTTAGAAATTATTAAATTATTGAAAAAATTAATTAATTATTGTAATTGAAATATGTTGATAATTTATATTCAATCTATAATTATTTTCTAATAATTTATTTTAGTTTAAAAAAATAATAAGAACAATAGATAGATATTTAGAGAAAAATCTATTCATAATTATTGATTATTAAATTATTAATTAATAAAATAATTTTTAAAGAATGTGGTAGAATACATAAAATATTATAAAATGTATCTATTGATATTATATATCATGCTTTTATTGTACAAATCTTTGTAATTCTTCATAAAACATATTTATATTATAAATTATTATAAACAAATATATAATCTTATTTATAGGTAATTGTGTACATATAAATACACATATGATTCAATATCAACTATTTTGAATTTTCTTTTAATATAAATGACATTTTCTTTGTTGTTTATTTATATTTATAAATAATTTAATTATATATAATCTAAAAATTAAATTATGTAAAAAATCAATATGGTGCCAATAACTATATAAATATGAGATGTGAAAACATTAAAATTACATATATTTATAAATTTTAATTAAAACCAACATTTTTGATTTCTTTAAAATATATCGAAAAATACAAAAAAAAGTTTTTTGTTATCTCAATAAAATTTTATTATTATTGTATTTTTATACAAATAATTTTTTACATAATTTTTATTAATCTTATTAATAGTAATAAATAATAAAAATAAAAATATACATTTTTACTTATATTTTATAAGGTTTAAAATGCAAAGAGAAGAAAAACAATTAGATTCCGCTTTGGAGGCAATTATTATGAGAGTAAATGATTTAAAAAGTGCAATTGCTGCAATGATATTTAAATTGGAACATGAATATGAAACATTAAATTGGCCTAATTTTCTTGATAATTTTGCTCTTATTTCAGGACATGTATGTATTTGACATTTTCTATTTATAACATATAAATAGAAATTAATCAAAATATATTGATTTTTAATTTAAAATATATTAAGATTAATATTATTTATTAGAATAAATATAAGATAATATTTATTAAAATATTATAACTTTTAAGTAAAGTAGTTTGTGCAATTATAATTATAATTTTATTCAATTTAATTTTATTATGTATTTATGTCTCATTATATAATAAATTTTTTTATAGCTGACCAGTCTTTCAAAAATTCTTGGACATGATAAGGCACCAAATTTAAGAAACTTAACAGTTTTACCATTAAGATTAAGTCCAGAGAAAGATGAAGAATTGCTTCGTTTAACTGAAGGTAGAATTCCCACATTTGCTCATGACTTAGTACCAGATTATCTACGAACTAAAGTAGAACCTCAAGCTGAACAAAAAATGATGCAGCTTGAAGCAAAAGCTGCAAATTTAAATTATGAAACATCACATGTAAGAAAAAATATTTTTTACTTATATATTAAATCATTTAAAAATTTAATATAATTATGAAGTATATGTAAATTTAACTTTTTTTTAATAATAATTAAAAAATTAAATTTAAATCTTGAAAATATTTTAAGATAGAGATAAAATTATATCTCTGTTATTTTATTGTAAAAGCTTAAAGATAACTTAAGATGTTCTATTTCTCTTTTAATGTGCTAACTAAACATCAACTAGGACTGCAATGTAAGCTACTATCAGCTAGCTTTCAGCTTTTATTAGTTCCATTCGCTTTGGACTGAAATTGAAATAATTATGAAAATTATATATAAAATAAGTTTCAAATCTTAAAAATATAAAAATATATATTTTGTTTTATAATTTTATGTTTAGTTAATTATAATAACATATACTTTAAATTTGCAAATAGTGATATTTTTAATATTATAAATTACAACTTATTTTACAATTTATTTATATTTACATAGAGATAGATTTTTATAATATTTATTTTTTTATTAATTTATTATTTAAACTATTAGAGGAAATCATTGTTTTTGATTAAAGATACTATTATATATTTATTTAAAATTTAGCAGTATTAAACAACTATTATATAGAATATATATTATATATAAATTGATTAATTTTCCCCTAATAGTTTAAAAATAAAAATTTCATAGTAGGTCCATTTAGCGAGTGGAACGCTAAATGTTTTTTTTTTTTCTAAAATATATATGCATTTTATAATTTTCAGAAACAAGTGGCTCAATACACAAAAGTTATTAATCATGTATGGGATATAGCAAATAAGGCACGTGAAGAGTGGGAAAGTGAAGCTGGTTCTAGAGCAACTCAAGCTCAAACCAGCAGTACAGCAGACACTCATGCTCTTGTAGCAGCTGTGGGTATGGGTAAAGGTTTAAAGGTAAATATTTTTTATTTTTAATGTTTTTAACTTTTTAGTTATCAAAAACATATATATAGAGATTTAATACTTAACATTAACATTAATATATATGATTTAAAAACATACAATAGCCAATAAATTTCAATTTATATAAAAAATATTAAATATTAATACTTATTTAAAAAATATTGTATATTTATAACAATTCAAAAAATTAATTATATTATTTGCTTTAGATGCATTTGATAAAATATGTTACACTCTACGATTTAAATTTATAACATATTCAATATGCTAAAAATTGATTACAATATATTCAATGGTAGATATATTAATTTTTGATAGTAAATAAAAAACATTTTTTAAATTGATAAAAAATATAACAAAATTCAATAATAAATTCATTGCATATTGATGATAACATTTATATTAAATGCATATGCAAAAGAAAAATTGGATATGTGAACAATTTTTTTTCATCTTTCATATTCTTAGAAAACATTCTTAGAAATGTTGATGATACAACCATATTTCAATTACTATGGAATAGAAAATAGAAAATAAAATAGAAAAAACCTAGAATAGAAATAATGCATATATTCACATCATCCAATATTGAATTAACTTAATACTTTTAACTAATTTCTAACTATAAAGATAAATTTCATCTTTATCTATATTTTTTCAATTGATTTGTGAATACAATTTTATATATATATAATTATATTTACAACAATTTTTTATATTTAAAACTATAAATTCTGTATATGTAAATCTGTCTTTAAATGCATATATATAATATAAATATAAATACATATTTATAATATAACTTTATATTTGTGTTATATATTATTAAATATATTAATATATTATATATTAAAATCCTTTATATTTTGTTTTTATAGTCCGATTCTGTGCAAATGGTTCAATCAGGTGTGAATTCAGTACCTAGTGGAATGATAGTAGGAAGACCTGGAAATCAGCAACAAACTCCAGGACAAGGATCACTAGGAAATCCATCTAGTAAAAAAATTTATTTTAATCTATTTATATATATAATATTTTATAACTAAAATTATATTTATAGTATTAATATATTTTATATATTTTAGTGGGACAAATGACTAAAGCTCCAAGTACAATCAAAACCAATATCAAGGCAGCACCACAAATTCATCCATATAGATAAAATATAAAAATATTGACTTTAATATAATATTTTTCAAATTAAAAATTATTTTCATCTTAATTTATTATATTTTTTATTATTATTATATTTTTTAATATATAGCAACATTAAAATAATTTGTTTCTTTTTATTTTTAAATAAAATATTTACATATATATAATTATGTATATTATAATTAAAATCATTTTTTTAATATCAGCATATTTACTATATTTTACATTATAAAATATAGAAAATCATACAAATTACATCTGCGCTCTTATACTTTATAACAATGTACATTAAAAATATAAATGTAATGTTAGTTGTATCTTAAATAAATTCATGTAAAAGAATTAATTTAACCATCTTACATAAAATTATTCATCTGTTAAAAAATAAAAATTATTTATAGCAATTATTATATTTACAAAAATTAATTGAATTTTGAGAATTTGTTATTTAAAATAAAAAAAATCAAAATTTAAGATTTTTAATAATAATGAATAACAGAATAAAGTGATGAAAATTTAAAAAATTTTTATATTAAATTTTAATTTTTATTATAAAAATAATTATTATTAAAATTTAATTGAAGATTTTAATATCATATTAAAAATCTATCTTATTAAATATATTAAAATATTATAGAATTTGTTTACTTTTAGATAAAAAAATAAAATCATAAAATAAATATATCTTTCAATAAGAAAATCAAAGCACAAAATTTAATAATGAAATTTTTTAAAAATAATATAAATATATAAGAATGATTTTAAATCTGCGAAATCTAGATTTGAATTCTATTGAATATATGTAGTTTCATTTAAAAAGAAATATGAATATAAATAATAGAAAGAAATCTTTTATTAATACTTTATATAATGAATAAAATAATATTAGTGCTATGCATAATGAAAAAATTAAACCACAGTATATTAAAGTTTTTAGTACGCTTTATAGTTATAAAAGATTATTATATAAAATATTAAAATATAATTCATTGTAAAATATAAATGAAGAAGAGTACGTTAAAAAAAACTTTAAAACTGTATCATAATATTGTATTTTTTTTTTTATCTATATAAATATTTATTTGCTCATTTATTTATTACATTACTTTATTAAATATATGAGAATGTAAAAAGAATGTAAAAATCATCGTAATTTTTCAGATATTTTTTTTTGAAATTAAACTTTATATGGAATGTTTTTTAGTAAAAAAAGTAAATATTATACATTTGTTTTTTTTTCACACATATAAACATATGTTTTTTTTAACATATAAACAGTTGTTTTGTAAAGAAAAGAAACTATAAGTAATAAATTTACTAATTGTAAACACATTACTAAAAAATAATTAAAAATCAAAATAATTTAATTATAAATAAATGTTTGAATATTTAAAATGATACTATATCATTAAATTCTGTAGATGTTCTATATCTGTGATATATACATCATTTTCTTAATAATATTTTAATATTAAAAAATTACCTCAGGAGACATAATGAAGGATACAATTTTTTAAATAATTTTTTTTCGAATATTTTAAACAAATAGTTTTATATATTAAAGATTGAATATAAATATTTCTTTTTTGTTGCTATGTATATTAAACAAAATATAAATATTTATTTGTTATATATATTGCAGTAGAAACAAAAACTTAATAAATATACTTATTAGTCAATTATTCAATAGTTATATTATAATTAATAATATAATTAATATATATACATATATTAAATAAAATAAAATGCCATAATATGATTCAATAATATATTATAATTAAATTAAAAATTTTCATTATATATTTATAATTAAAATTAAAATTTTTTTTTAATTAATAAACTTTTACTTTAAATATTGATTTAAATCATAATTTTTAATTAATAATTTTCAATATGCATTTTAAAATATTAATATTTTTAAGTTTGATTAATTATTTGAGTATTTTTTAATTGTTTTTACAAATTTTTTTTCTATTGAAAAACATGTTTGAAAAATATAAAATTTAATCTAAATAATTTTTCACGAAAACATTTTATTAATTCCACTTCTAAATTTTTTAATCTTTTTTTTAAACTTTTCTAAACACTTCTTTGAATTATTTGAAATTCTCAAAAAATTATGGTGACAATTATGTGAAATATCTTATATTATTTATTATCAGGATTGTCATTTTAAGAGAATTGAGGGAAAATTTACTTTACTTAAGCATAATCATATTATAGGCAAATAGAATTTATATTACATAAATGTATATGTATATATGTATATTATATATGTATATTATATATGTATATTACATAAATGTAAAGAAAAAGTAATAATAGAAATAGAAATAATCATCAAGAATAATTCTTTCCAGAGAAAGTTTTTACAACAATGCTATTTAGGAGTTTTTAAAAGCTAAAACAAACACATGATATACAAAAATATTGAAGTTTATTAAATTATAAAAACTTATTAAACTTATTAAACTTATTAAATTATAATTTCATTGAAATTTATATTAAATGAAGTAAAATAATATAAAATGACATAGCTCTATCTTTACTATACTATCAGCTATTTCGCCTCTCTTCATCTAATATAAACTAAATTGCTTATAAATTAAATAAATAATTTTTAATTAACATTATATATCAATATTCTATATTTTTATATTGGTCTTTAGAATAGATTCCTAATCTCAATTATTAATAAAATAGAAAATATTCTATAAATATATTAATTCTTAATCATTATAGAATGTGTGTGAAAATGATTCTAATTTTTATTCATTTCTATTTTCTTTTTTACATGGTCTTTAATTTATTATATTTTAGTCATAGCCTTTCTGTATATAATATCTATATATAATATATGTATAATATTTGTATATAGTATATAATGTAAAATATACAAATATATTATAATATATTATAATAATTTTAATTATAATATAATAAAAAAATTATAATAAATATATAATAAATTCAAATTAAATATAAAAATATTTATTATCTTTTGTGAGATACAATTGCATATGCTCGCGGGGATAAATATTTATTCATTACTGGAATAATTTTTGCTTTTAAACCTTGTTCTTCCATCCAACATAATCTATCTTGTAAAACAAGTGATTCTGCTGGTGCTTGCAACATTAGTTGTAAACCAGTATATATTTCTACAATTTTAAATTTATCACAATGATTTTTCCATAATTCTATTAAATTTTTTTTATGTGTATCAAGATTGAATTCTATATCTAAAAAAAAAATATCTTGATATTATTTCATTATATTAAATAACTTTTGTTTTCAAAACTTATATTATCTAATACTTTTGTAATATATAATGTAATGTAATGTAGAAAGACAAAATCATAAAAATATAGAAAATTTTTTAATATGATATAATATAAATATAATGATATTAATAAAGTTTTATACATACTTAATAATTAATAAAATATTTTATATGTATTTTGTATCTTGTATAATATTACCTTGTTTTTTGAATGTTTTTTTTTTTGTGGTTGTAAAATATACCTAGTCAATGCATCTTTAATATATGTTTCAAAATTTAAGCATTGTGATTTTCTTGTTCCTTTTTGAGTACATTTCTTAAGAGAAAATCCATCTGAAATATTTATACTTTATATGTACTTTATATTATTAATATTATCAATTGAAATAGAAAATTATATGAAATACATACTTTTAGTTGCATACAATTGAAGAACAGCTCTTGCAAGAACATAGAAAGAATGTTTATTGTGTGTTTCAGTAGACATGTTATACCATCTATCTACTGGTTCTTGACATGCTAGTCGTAAAAAAGGTTGTCTCAAAAAGGTACCAATATCAAAATTGGTATTACTAATAATGGTTTTAAAACGATTAGATAAGGAAAATTGTTAAAGTATTGCTTTTCATATGTTATGTTTGACGATTCGATTTGATTTATTCTTATATTTTTTGATATTGAAAGCTTATGATAACAACAAGGAATTAAAATAAAAATACGTGCTATTTTCATATCTCGAAATATTTTTGATGCATGTATACTAAGATCTCCACAAGCATGTAGACCAATTAAACAAACATCTGATTTTTCTTGAAATTCATTATTTAAAATAGTTTCTATTATTTCAACAGAATTATATGTTAAATCACAACAATTATATTTAACATATGGCAATGAATCAGAATACATTTTTATTTGTCTACTTCGAGCATTATTTACATTTTCTTGATTTTTTTCTAATCCAAGAACTTTATATCCATACAAATAATATAATAATTGACAAATATATCCCTATAATATAAAAAAAAGTAAATATAAAATAAAATACAAATTTATTCTAATAACATTATATATAAATATATCTTACCAAACCTGCACCAAGATCGATAATAGTTTTGATATTTTGTGATGCACATTGCATATGTACCAAATATGCTAAATGCATTATTTCATGTTGTTTTTTAGGATTAAGACCTGTTTGAAAATTTTTTGGTAATATTATTGGTATTATACTATTTATATTTGGTAATCGATCAATATATCTACACTTTTTAACAAATGTTTTTAAAGTCTTTGACCATTCTGGCTAAAAAAAGTAAAATAATTTATTTATAATATTATATTAAGATATGTCATATATATTTGATATTTTACTTATATTTTAATGTTAAATTTATTTACTAACCTTTGTTATTTTTTTTATAACAAAATTATTAAATTCCTCATTTTCTAAAGTTTGTAAAACATTTAACCATTCTTTTGGAAATAAATCAAGTAATCCTTCAGTTAATAAATTAGTAACTGGAATATTATAGAGCCATTGTGTTTCAATAAATAAATTCAATGCATCCAAAAAATATATATTTGCTACATATTCATTTGCACTTGCCATCTAATTATGAAAAAAAATATTTTTTTTAAAAATAATTACTAACCTATAATTATAATTATATTTTTGTATTAAATATAATATAAATATAATATTAACTTTTATGTCATATAAAATTCATTTCATAAATATATTACATTATATTATATTATATTTCATAAATATTACATTAATTATACTATAAATATATATATTTAAATATATAGATTTAAATAATTTTATAAATAATTATCTATCTATTATAAATAATTTAAATATTAATTCATTTATAGTTTACTAAAATGAATTTAAACCAGCAATCAATTAATGAACAAATTTCATTTTTCTATAAATGCAGAATATAAAAAAATATCAGCAAGAATTTTTAAGATTCAAAAATTACACTATAAAAAAAAGAATTTAATGTCTTTAAGAAAACATGGAGAATAAAAAATTTTTTCAATGCTTACATTTTACCAAAAGATTCATGGACTATTTTAAATTTGGATTCATAATTTATATAATTCATATGATAAACTATAACATTGTAATTAATATTAAAAAAAAGAAATTTCTTAATATGATATTTAAAATATTTTTTTATATTAACATAATAGTTTAATAATAATAATATAATACCTTATTTAATAAATATTATTAATTTATAATAATAATAATAAATTTATTTTTTAATAATAAATTTATTAGGTATATTCGTGAACATAGAGAAAAGACAAAACTCTATTTGTAAATTTGACTTTTCAAAGAAATATTATAATATCTTAAAAATAAAAAGAAAAAATACTACTATTAATAGTGATATAATATGTGTAAATAATAAATAATATAGTAAGCAAGGACAGCTTATACAAATAATGCATAAAGAATTATTTGTAATAAAAAAAAAACATATTGCACACTTAGATGAATCAAATGCATCTTTTTTCAATTAATGTGAAAAATTTTGTTGTGAAAAATTTTAATCAATAGATGGCGATTATTGTTGATATTGAAATTACATACCTAATTTATATTTTTATTTTATATCTCATAATATACAGTAAGTTAATATTCTGCAATTAAAAATAAATATTTGTAATTTATAATATAAAATGTAAAAAATATTTTCAAAATTTTTATGTATATATATGTATATTATGTATATTATGTATATATATTTTTTAATTTGCATTACAATTAGAACAGTACAAAATGCAAAATATAAATGTATATGAAAATCAAATGTCGCAAAATGAAATTCAACAACTTAATATTATCTTTGTTATATGTTGGCACATTATACAAAATCTGTCAATTATCCTATACTCATTTAGCTGTTTTTAGGGCAAGATACATAACTTTATATTATTTATATTTTATTATATATAATATATATAATATAATATGTTTTATATTATATTTGTTATATAATTATGATTTTTATGTATGTATAGTATTTTATTAAATATAGATAATTTATAAGAAAAATAGTGGGAAAATGACATCTAAAAATAAATAAAAGTTATTTTTCATATTATTTTTATGTTTATCTAAATTAGTACAATACAATAATCTTTTGTAAATAATATATATATATTATTTTTCATAATATATATATTCACGAATATATAATATCTTCATTATGAAAAATAATAGATTTCATTTATCTTACGAAAAGTAATTATATTTTGACTACAAAAAAAAACCATTTCCGAATAAAAACAAAAATATTAAATTTATTATTAATAAAAAATGATAATTTGATTTATATCGTGTTTAGATCTTTTATCGAAAACTTTTGTTAATCATTTGGAATTTTTAAAAAAATAGAATGAAAATTATAAAAATTTAAATTTTTGCATTTGTAATTGAATGTTTCATTATAATGTAATAGTAGTAATAGTTTTTTGAAATATGTGCATACATGTATATATAGGATTTAAATATGTAGTTTTGATTAATAATGCTTGATCTATTATGTTTTTCGCTTCATTTTTAAATTATTCTTGTTTTTTTTGTTTTTCTTTCGTTAACATGAAATTTTTTTTTAATATTCATATAATTAAATAACTAAATTATTTTTTTAATAAAAATTATTTTTAAAAAATGAAACCATATAAAAATTGCAATAAATATGAAATATTTTCAGAACTATATAAGACGAACTTCTAGTCTAAAATCGAAATTTTAGACTACTGACTCGTCTATGATTTCATTTTATAATTAGCTGTTGTAAATATATATTTTTATTGAAAATCATTTAAATTAATTATATAATATATACATGGTTTTGTATTTTTTAATATAATCCATTTTTAATGATTTCATTTTAGATCTTAGGTTTACTGAATTAACCTAGATTAAAATGTGATTACTAAAATAAAAAAATTTATTTACTTCATTATGTGTAGATTAAGGATTTCGTTAGTTGTTTATTTTTTATACATAATAAAATGTATATACTTTATACAGCGTAAAAAAATGTATATGCAATGTTATAAAAGACAATCGTATAGATTTAGACAGAATTTAATATAATAATATTAAAAATTCTTTACAAATGCATTAAAAATTAAAGTCGATTATTTATTATATGTAAAAAAAAATTATTTAAAAAATTATTCTTTATAATATATTAATATATTATATTTCAAGTTTATCAAAATCTGTGAAAGAAAAATATTTTTAGAAAGAAAAAAAATGTCCACAGATGAGTTTTTTCTTCGGAAAAGCTCGCTTTTTTTGAACTAGTAGATTTTCGAAGTTCTATTAAAAAATAGTTTGCAATGACAATTCTGTAATAACCATTGAATAAAGAGCAGTAGAAAATCTAACAAAATAAAGCTACTGCATAGAAAATGGATATTGAAAAGATTCTTATCAATAAAAGAATAATATATCTTGAAGAGCGATTTTAGGAACTCATCAATTAACGACAATAATAATAATAACTTTCAAATAATGGTATAGCGGGAGTGAAAGAACCAGACAACTATATTTAAATATTATAAATAACAATAATATAAATAATGAAATTTGTACGCCAAATAAATAGTTGCTCTTGCTAAAACTTTATTTCTCTCTTTTGTTCATGGAATTAAAAAATAATAATAGTTTCATATTCTTTGAATATATAATAAAATATATAATAAAATTAAGTTTTGATTTTTTTGACATTTTCTTCTTGGAAGAAATTTCAGATACAATTTGAAATCATTATGCAAATGATATGAGATAACCAAGTTAGATTATCTTATTAAATAGATCTACACGAATTATGTTGATATTCCGTATATTTTACGAAATTATAAATATTTATAATAAATATTTAACATATTTAAGACTGATTTCGGCTATAAAATTTTATTTTGATGCGAAAAATTTCTCGAATTTAAATTATATTTTATTTTAAAATTATCAAAGAAAAAATGTTGACTGCCGAGATTGAGACTAAGTAACTTTTTCAATTATCTTTGAATAAATTGTCTCTTAATTTGTCATGATATTGGTTAACGAAAAAATTACGAAATTCTTCTGTTTTAATAGATTTATATTTTTAAGGATTGTTGTTACTAAATGAAAGTTGTTGAGTTATATCTTGAAGTTTTTGATGTAATAAACAAGAACAAAAATACACTTCAATTTTTTCCTATTAAATTAAACAAAAAAGAAGATTCGAAGAGAGAAATGAATAAATAATAAGTTTGACAAGATTAACTTTATATATTTTGAATGATTTTGATTATGATATTTCAGTGAAATGTATCTTTGTATTCTTGACTATATAACTAAAAGATTGAATTCTATTTCTAATCGCAAATTTGCGTTGCTAATAGATTTTTAGAATTTGATTTGAAAGTAGTTGAGGGAAAAAAAAATATATAGAAAAATAATTAGAAAGAAAGAACACGACGCAGTTGTTATCTATATGAACATATATATTAAAATATATTTTCACACAATAATAAATTACAACTTTTACGATCATAACATAAATATCATGACTTTTGACATGATATTGAATTTGCATGACAATTAAATATTATGGCTTTTATCATGATATTGAATTTGTTATCGTATACAATATATAGCGTCATTCTATTATATGTGTTATACGAAAATTATTTAATTAATTTTATTTAATTATATTTTGTAACTGTAAAATATCATAATTAATATAATTATGTTATCGTAAAAATTAAAATTTGACAGTGGAATTATAGAACAAGGATATTTCTTCTAACATTAAAAATGACTTAATTTTAAATGAATTTTTGCAGAAAAACAAAACAAAGCTGAGAATTCGTAATATCACATTATTCCCATTACAAGTGTTAGATTAGGTAGAAGCATATGACATAATAGAATGCAATAGACAATTTTTGACTTGTGATTTGGCAATTATGATATTGAGATCTCGCTGTTGCGAATTAATAGGAAACTAAATCATTTAGAAATATTTTAAAAATATGCATCTTTTATTATAAATGAAATGAATCAAAAATATATATATTAATCAAATATAAAATAAAAAAACAATAATAAAGAATTAAATAATATTTAAATAATATAATAATACACAATAATATAATATAATAAATAACTTAAATATAAGTTTATATAATGAAATATAAATATATAATTTATAATTTATTTTTTAATAATCATTTTATTTACTGCTTTTATCGGGAAATAAAATCCCAATTTCTTCTAATTCTTTTATTATTCATTTTTTTTTATATGATAGAATTAAATAACTTTAACATGTTTTTCTCTATTATCACATGTAACAATTTTTATGTTTTGAAATTCTAGTTGTAGTTTTATAATTGCATTTATTGTTTTTAATCTATTTCTAAGCTTTATTTTTTGTTTTATGATAAATATATAATCGATAAATATCTTTCCATGTTTGGAATGTGGTTATATAAAATATAAAATTATTATATTTTATCATATATCAATCAAATATTTCATATTATATTATATCAATATTTTTCTATAATATTTTTATTTTTTATATATTTATTTATTTTTTAAAATCAATTTTTTTTTAAGATTTTTAATTGTATTATTTTATATCAAA